GCGTTCTCCTTGCGGAATTACCGCCTTGCAAAACACTTCGACGGCGACGGCGACGGCGACGGCGACGGCGACGGCGGCGTCGTGCCACAATTTATAGAGATTAGCCCGCGCGGAGCGAGAACTTGCGAATCGTGCCGATCGAAACGGCCGCGAAACTTTTCCGTCGTATTGTTATCCCGGGAAGACGCGAAAAAGTCCGGCGCGGGAGACGCGGGAAACAACGTTGCGAGACTGAAACGACAGTGGATGCACGATAAGAATGTCTCCGGGGTGCGATATAAGCCCGTCCTCCCGTCGCAAGAAAAGCTGAACAGATCGTGAAAATCGCGCAAACATTCTCCCACCTCGCATATTCGGGCACTTTTATATTTGTACGTCTTTTCTTTTGTCGCTTGAAAACGTTTCGATGATTTTTTGTCAGTGCAGTAAGAGAGCAATTGCAGATTAAAAATGACTATAAAGTACAATGTGAATTTTTTATATCTTCAATCTTAAACAAATGACGCGATAGAATATTGCAGTTTCATATTTCTTCTCATTTTCATCATTTTTGTATGATGCATCAGCGAACTGTCGTTGCTATATTATTATATTAGATATTTTTCATTATCAATTATTTCCTTCCCGTGTATCTTTACGTCCCTCCTTAAAACATAATTGTAATATTTATTTTATTATACGTATATCCGCAGAATGGATTAAACAACGTAATATTTTGCTAAGTCAAAAATTACAAAAAGATGAAGGTATAAGAATTTTACAATGTCCCAGACTGTACAAGATAATATTCAATGGCAGGATCTTGAGGTCGAGTTAAAAATCCTAATACCGAACTTCTAATATGTTAAAGTTATAATAATCCTGTAATGACAAATGCTCACCCAGATAGCACCGAATGTTCCATGAATGTTTGTATATGATTCGAATGTTCTCTCTCAGGAATATTCGCATGGATGTGCCGTGAATGTTCCTAGAATGTTCCTAGAATGTTCTTCATATTCTATGAACATTCACACAGAATGCCCAGGGAATATTCGCATTAAATGTTCCCTGAGTGTCTATGGCATATTCTGAATGTTCTATGAATATTCTTACAGAATGTACGTGGAATGTACACATGGAACTTTCTACGGATATTCTTACTGAATATACGTGGAATATTAGCAGCGTATGTGCTG